AATCTTTCTAAAAATTTATGCTTTCACATTTTTCACTCAGCTGTCACTTGGGTCAAGACAAATTTCAGTCTTAAATCACAGAGGACGAAACTGACCTACGTTGTACACTCTGGTATGAACAGAGCATTGTGCTGCGCCGAATATTTGCCAAGCGCAACGTCTTCAAGATGCTGCGTTCTGGCTATACAATGTAGGCAGATTTGAGGTTCTGATATAGAATCAACAGTCAATTGCTTGATGGAAATTCAGGGTAAAGCAAAGGTAAACATAAAAGTTAAACGGTAAAGGTTAAAGGTAAACGACCTGCTAGCCGTTTTTGGATTCTTGTGCCGAGGCACAGTTGGATGAATTCTTTCTAAGGAAAGTAAAGTGAAAAAAACATTTATGAAGTAGAAGTAGTTTAAACCCGACATCTCTAAAGTGGAAACTAAACTAGTAATCCACTTAGTTACTGCTTTCTCAATTAGCTACTGTCTGAATCGATGGAAGCGACCGGTCTTTATCAATGGGACCTTACCAAGCTGTCATGTCGTGGCAATGAAACTGAGTTACTGCAACCGTTTCAAGTTTCGTTTTGGTAGAGGAGGGCTGCGATATGAAGTTACTTGATCAACAGATTCATACTGCCGCTGATCACGTGAGGTCACTGCTTTTAATATGATAATAGTTTTTCAGGCAGTGTAGTTGTCAAAACACCTTGAATGGTCTACGCTACGGTTACTAACTGCTCTCCTGTGTTGGCGATTGTAATTTTTGAACATCTACGATCTGGCCAGTGCAAACGTAATCATTACATGCAAAATTAAACGCCGACTTTCTGCCACCCTTGAGAGTGCGGCCTATGCCATTTTAACGCAGGCTATTTTGGTGCAGCCCTCCAGTGTTTGTTGTAAATACTTGGTGCTAAAGTCAGTGCTTTTAATCCACATCAATTGTTTGATTTGGCCCCTCATTTTCTATATCACTGGAGCGATCCATGTGAGTAAAATACAACGCGACTGTCAAAAGTGCAAGTTTCTGATAATGAATACTGTGAGATCATTAAGTCAACGCACGGTGTTGTAGTCACGACCTCAAATC